GAAGGCCGCATGCCAGTCCCTTTGTTATCATTGGGCTTACGCTGTGGTTTTCCTGACCCCAACTCATCCCACTCATTCCTGTGACATTCTTGGCCTGAGTAGGAAGAGATGGTTGGAGGGATGACTAGAGCCTGACGTCAGGAACCGCCTGCCCCCTGGAGAGACATCCGAGCCGGGAACATGGCTGCTTCCCTGGCCGTGCGAGCTGCTTGGTAGGTAACATGCCTTCAGTTGGGTGGATGGGATCAGACAGCCATTGATTGGTGTGGGCAACACAATTATTTCCTATTTAAAGGAAGCTCGGACTGTGCGCATGATCTCTTCTTTGAATAAATGTCTTAAATATCACTTACCCGGATCAGTGCCCCACACAAACATACAGGCAATCCCAAACTCAGCACACACTCCAAAGAACTTTAGCAGCCGAGACTTACATTTTTAGTCACCATTGAAGAGGCCATGAAATTTATTGCCTAAAGGAGGACATATTTTAAGAGTCAGAGGGGCATTATTAATAATTATGCCAGAAAAACAGGAATAAACCAGCAAGCACACTGGGGCATGTGGTTGCCCTGCTCAATATGCAACATCCACGAATGACTTGATTACAAAATCTGCCACTGGCCGCCGGAGGTTGTTCTGGGAACCAGATTTGTCACAGTTCCACCCCTGGAGCTTGGCTCCTCTCACTGTTGAAGTCCTTACTGCAGGAGAGAGGACCTAGGACAGTTCTGTTCCTTCCAGAACTGAGCTCTCCTGCTCTCTGTACCTTTCACTGATGCCTCTAAGCCTAAGCCTCCTACGAAGGACTGCCTTTGACTCTCAGAGATGACACAGGTGGCTGTCAGGGTTGGCTCCCTGAAATCGGGGACCTGGCAAGTAAATGACATCTGTCTTTGGATCCCTCGATTTCTTTTTCTGCTGTGCTCCCCTCTTTCAGAGACCTTTCTAGGTTATTCAGGATAAACAAGTTTCCTCTACTCTTCCTTAAGCTAACTGGGTCACCCCTTCATGCTACTAGAAATTTGCATTTTCTATGTGTGTGTAGGGGGGCGGGTCACGGCTCAGGTCCCTGCAGGACACCACCATTGAAGATCAAACCACTCTCAACAACCAGCAAAGACATAGCATTGCAGCAGTAGTAAGTTTTACACTTGGCATTTGGGAGAGGAACAAACGAAGTCTGAGGGCATTTCAAATATTGAAAGAAAGAGGCAGGTTTTTGAAATGCAAAGATATGAGTCCCTTTCCAGGAGGCAAATTATATAGTAGTAGCTAAGATTAAAAAAAGGGAGGAGGGGTAGAAGGTATTGGGATGGTGAAAGAAATTGTTTAATGGATAGAGAATGATCCAGAAAGGTGACTCTCAGATCCCTTAGATAAAGCCACCCAGCTACTCGTCAAAGATAAGAGGAAAAGCTGGCTGGCTTTATTCTTTTGACAAAGATGCACCAAGGTGGCAGAGAGAGGAGGTTAGAAGGTTGGTAATAGCTCATTCTCATTTACAATGCATCCTAAACTATTCTATCACTCTTTATAAGCAGGCCTTGCAGGAGACTCGGGCCTGAAGTTTTGACAGAATCTACAGTGGCAAGGAAAAGGGGGAGAGACACAGGAAGAGGGGGCCGGTGTATTATTTACAGTCGGAGAACTTGCACAGAGCAGACTGCAAGGGCTGGCCCAAGACTGGTGTCTGTATGACTGTGGAATAAAGACAGACGTACCTGCATTCTCGCTGCGGCTGTGCTGGGCCAGCCTGCGGGCGTCTCTTCGCTGTGCTACAGTCTGCCCTGCTACCAGTTACCTTTCCCTATGGCCTGGCAGGGTAAAGAGCTCAACAGAACGCTGGTCAGGCCCCTGGGGATGAAATCTCATTAGGATGGTACGGGGAGGGCATCTCGCTGGTGGTGACAGGTCTAATAAGCATGCAGATGGCAGACACACACGCACGCACACACTCTACTGAAGTCACCGTGCGGTGGGCAGAGAGGAGGGATGTGGGGAATCTGATCCGAAAGGAACAAAAAGCTGCAGCCTCTGCAGTGAGCCGAGAGAGAGAGTGACAGGAGGACAGCACAAGGAAACAAGAAGCAAAGTGTGAAAACCCGCAGCCAAAGCCGCTGGAGAGCATATGCATTGGACTTCACAGTTTCCTCCCGTTTCCAGCTTACATTTGCTCCATATGCTGCTTTACACGGCTTTCCAGGGCCATAATGGGTTTTATTCCATAGTTTTTATACTAACATGAATGACTCACATCTGCTCCAATACCCAATTCGCTCTCTAATGTCTTCGGCTGCGAGGAGAGAACAGCTTACACAGAACTTGCCAACCACAGGAGTGGCAAAAGGAATCCTAATTCAGGGACGTGGAAGGTTAGAACTGTGTGTGAGCTGGAGGGGTCTTTCAGAGGGCATGACACGAGGGATGGGAAAACTGAGACCCAGAGAAATGTGGAACTTGCTTAAGAATATCAAGACCAGTGAGGTCAATTCATGTTCGAGCACCAGGGCATACCTAGTTAGTAGGGTACTTACTATTACTATTATTTTTTTATTTCCTGCCATGTTAAATCTTTTGCTGGGAGATTTTCCTCCCCACATAGGCTGTGGATTAATCGCTAATGATAACTAATCCCCCATTGGGATCAACTGCGCTCTGCATTACTCAGGCTGGTTATTAAAGTTTTAAATATCTGCCAGAGCGTGGAGGTCCCCTGGATAGACTGTGTCCTGCTGGAGACCTACAGGGCTGGGCTCAGCGTGGAGTTTCGCCTGGCTTCCAGATGCTCTAAGTCCCATCTGAAATTGACTTCAATCCTAACAACACTTACTGGTTTGACAGCCCAGACTAATGTGCCCTTTGGCTGGATCAGGTAACAACACTCGGCAAAGCTGGGTTCCTGCGACAGCTTCCGGAGGCCCAGGGAGTCTTCACCTGACTGGAGGACAAAATAGTGACTCGAGAGGCAAGCACCTTCAAAGGTAATGCCTGCTATCCCAGGCCTCACAGGCCTTGCAGGGAGCTGCCATGGGAATCCCAGGGCCTCAGTTTCCCCAGGTGCTAAACAGTTAGAAGGAAGTACCTAGCACCTCAGCAGCAGGCAGCGCCATGCCACACCATCTCGAAAGCTTGGCGGTGATGTTGTATAACTCCCTGCCATCTGTTACGCAGAAGCAGTAGTATCACAAAGCGCTGAGCAATGGACTTCGGTGCTGCAGCTCCTGCCTGGAGCTGACAGTGTCTCCGCGGCTTGCCTGGGGGTCCCCTGCAGAGTCTGCCGCAGAACACTTTGCAGGCCCAAGCCTGCAGGTCCAGGGTGAGGCTCCTGGAAGAGATCCAGGCACTCAAGATGCTGTAGGGATGGGTTCTATTGCTGCCATTACTCCCCCACCCCATGGCCCCATGACCATGGTCTACCTGGACCTTTGCCAGGCCAAAGGCCAAAGTGATGGCTGAGGAGCCTACACCAACCTTTCAGTACGTAGAGTTCTAATGGAGGTGAATCCTGGGTCACCCCCAGGGCTCCGAGGGGAGGTCTGAGAGCTCAGCCAGATCATGAGATGAGCTGGCAAGAGTGCTCAGCTTTTCTGGGCTGTTTGATTTCCACCTCTCTTCCCAGCCAGATACTTCTTATCTACAGCCTGGCTAAGAACTCTTTGGGGCTGTGAGGCAGGACTGCCCTGGTACTGAAAGACAAGGTACTAGACACAGTGGCTTTCAGCAGGTTCCTCCATTTCAGACTCTACTTCTTAGGGGCTCCATCTTACTGGAGAATGAATTTTGAGCCCCACTTTCCTGGTGCATGGGGCTTCCCTTATGCTGAGCTCCGTGGGTAGAAGCAGGAGGAAGGTGGCTACAGTGGTAGGTACATCATTCTCACCTCCTTTTGGAAGATAACCCTCTACATCCAGTATCTCCCTGCCCAGGGTCACTTTCCAAGAGCTCCGCGTGGTTGGCTTAACTTCTGACCTCCTCCCTGTAAGCTTCTGAAAGCACAGAGCTCTGATGCTTATAAGGGAAAGAAAACCCTTAAGGGAGATAACTGCCCCTTAATTTTTAAAAGGATGTCTTTAAAGTTAAATTTAGACCAACTCAGCGTTCCATTAAGCATAAAAAGTTGCTAGGCACCTGCATGCAAGTAGAGAAACAAACACCCTGGGGAGTTGGCTGAACTCGGCCTTGGCCCTGAACTGCCAGGAGCACCTCCAGCGTCCCAGTGCCCGCTCCCCGAGGGGGAGGGGTGGGGTTGGTGCATTGAGGGCGGGACTCGGGTTTGAGCGCCACGTGCAGCCCCCTGCTGAGGGAGGGAAAGTCCTCCCGGGGACAGCTCTGCCAGGCGTAACCTGCTCCTTCGGTCCCAAAATGAAACTGGCGGTGGCGGCCTCCTGGATGCACCGTTCACATTCCGCCCCGCCCCGCCCCAATCCAGGATGGCCCTGGAGCTGCGCCTTGTGTTCGGCGCGGGCGGCCCCAGAAAAGCACCGTGCGCCTCGGTCGGCGGGCGGCGGTAGCGCCCCCTGTCAGAGCCCCCTCACTCGCACCCTGTCTCCCTCCGAGTCGGTCTGTCGTGCCTTCCCTTTCCATTCTCTCCCTCCTCCCCTTTCTCCCTCGTGTTCCTGTCGGGGTGCCGGGCACAGCCTCGGATTCCTCCCTCCCCGCAGCTCGAGTCAGTTTCCCTCGCGGCAGCGGCGGTGGCGGTGGCGGCGGGTGAGGCAGAGGCGGTGGCGCGGGGACTATCTCGGCTGCCACCGCGCTTGTCCAGCTTGGCTGCCCCTCGGCCCTTTCCTGCCGCGCCTCTGGGCGCGCCGCTCCCCCACTCCTGCTCTCTTCTCTTCGAAGCGGGCGGGGCGATTTGCAGGATCCCGCCGCCTCTGCACCGCGTTCCCAGACTAGCGCTCCACCGGGCAAGGCGCTCTCCGGGACTCCTGCCCCGCCGACCCTGACCGCAAGGGGGTGCCCCAGGGGCGTAGCTCCGCGGAGAGAAGGCAAAGGGGACCATGCGGCGCCTGTCTCGCCGCCTGGTACTGCCGATCTTCGGGGTGCTCTGGATCACCGTCCTGCTGTTCTTCTGGGTAAATAAGAAGAAGTTAGAGGTGTCAACGGGACCTGAAGTGCAGACCCCCAAGGTACGCGGTTTGGCGGCGCGCCGGGAGCAGGGCAGCGATTTGCAGGAAGGCGCGCCGGGCGCGGGGCAGCGGTTTGCAGGAGGGCGCGCCGCTCGCGCGCTGGGTTTGCATGCTCCCAGGAAGCCAGGGCTGGGGTGTGGGTGCTGCGAGCAGGTAACTGGGAGCCAGATGCGGCTACACGGCATTATTTCTGGATTTAAAAAAACTCGGGGGCATCTACGGACCCTTAGTGTGTGAAAGTGGGAGTGGGTGTGGGTAGTGCGCGCGCCTCGCGGGTAGAGCGGAGCTGTGAACTTGGACAGCGCGCCGGGGTCCCGGGGCAAAGGAGGCGCTGCAGAAGAGTGGCCCAGAGGGTGGCTGTTTATGGACTCCTCGAGAGAGTCGCCGGTGTTTGGGTCGGGTGGCCGGGCCGGCGGTACTGGCGCCAGCGAGAAGTCTGGCGGCTGCGCTGACCTCCTTCTTTCCCGTAGCTGCCAGGCCCAACCACCGGAGGCCAGAGGCCCGGGGTGCGCCGCGTGCGTGTGCTTCTCTGGTGAGCGCCCTGCAGCCTTCCAGGGCGGCTGCAGCCAGTGCTCATCTGGCCTGTCGCCACCCCTGCTTTGTAATTGTCCCTGAGCCCTTCAGCTGCATTGGAAATTTAACACCACTAAAGAGTCTGTAAAACAAACTCCTTGGTATTGGTGGGGAGTTTGGGGAAATGAGAATTCAAGTGGCTTTTCAAACTCCTGCCCAGTTGGTTCATCTTTGAAGAGAGCCAGAAGGTTCTCTCTACAGGCTCACTTATACCTCTAATTCAAAGCCCCCATTCGTCAGCCTCTTTCTCTTCCATGCACCTGGTCGTGGGCCAAAGAAGGCGGCCTCCGGATTTCCTGACCAGCGAGGCAACATTTATGAACTGGGGCCAGAGTAGTCCTGCAGGGACCAGGGAAAAGCCCTTGGGAGAACTTCAGGTCCAAACAGGAGACTGAAAACGGAGGGGGGGGGGTGGAGGGGAGAGGGGAGTCTCCCCAGTAAGTACAGTTCAGAGGACCCACAATTTGCCAGGTAACGTAGCCGGTGCTTTTTCTTAAGTAGTTGTATGACTTGCGTGGTACTGTCCTTATTTCATAGGTTAGGAAACAGGCTCAGTCTTTGAGTGCCCTGCTGTAGGTCACTCTTCTGATTTGAACTAAGACCTCGGATATTGAGGACCTTTCTACTATATCCAGGTGCCTCTCAGATTCCCTTCTAACTAAGTCTTCTGGCACATATGTTTTGGAATCTTGCCAGTTCTCAGTTGGGTTTCACAAGCATTTTTTTTTTCTTTTTGTTGCCGGGCCATGTGCCATCACTATGGGTACAGAGATGCAGAACTTACACTCTGGGGTGGAATGGACTCATCAATGGACTGACTATACAGTGTGCTCAGGGCCAAGAGGGTCTCAGTGCACTTTGTGTCCTAGGAGCCTGGGGACTTCCTGGAGGAGTTCTTAACAGGACTGCGTTGAGAAGGACAAACAGTAGGTCTGTCAGCGGGCAGGGAGGGCATTCCAGATAGAGGTTAACTGCACCAAACAGGCTCAGAGGAATGACACAGCATGCTGGGTGAGTTTGGCATAACTGGAGTGTAAAGCAGGTGGCAGACATCAGGGGTGAGGCTGGGGAGGTGTATATGGGTCGTGTTGGGTAGGACCTTGTGGGTGCTAGTGGGCCTCGGAGCGGCACTAAGCAGGGAATTGATGAGGTCAGACTCATAACTTCCAACAGCCTTTGGCGCGCAGGATCAATTTTCTTACTCACCTCAGACCTGCCAATAGATCTAGAGAGCTTTTCTCCTTTTTCCCTTGGGTGGTTCTGTGCCTTGCGAGGCAGCTAATGGACGCCTGCGGGGACGTGAACTCTCTTTTGTGTTGCACCTCATTTCCTGAAGTTCACTTATTCTTAGTTTCCACCAGGGATCTGGGACAAGAGATGTTTCCTTCTTTGTGCACCTTGTCCTTCCTTCTCTGCCTGTACTCACCCTGGCGTGCGCTGAACACACGCTTACAGAAGGAATGCGGCTGTGTGCCAGGCTCTGTGCCAGTTTGGGGGCTGCCCTTTGTGGGATGGCCTCACAGTTCCTGGTTGAGGCTGAATTACAAACTAATGAGTAGATGACTAGTGTTGGGAGTGATCTAATAGCAAAGTCAGGACATAGTGCTGTGCTGTCTCAGAAGTGGGGGCTTCTAGTTTTGAGCACTTGCTCTTTGTGTTAACATCCTATTTTTTTCCTTTTCCCCCTTTTCTGTATTCTTTATAATACAAATTCCATAAATGTGGAAAATCTTGATACCTTTTATTAGGTGCCCTTCTTTTTTATTAGTTTAGCTCTCCTTCCTCTTTTTCATCTTTTTCATCTGTATGTATGACTATATGTCTGCATAGATGTGTGTATTTGTGGGTGTGTTTGTGTCTGGAGGATGAGCACCCTGTAGCTTAATGTGTAGGCATCTGAGGACAGAGGTGAGAGGAAAAAAAGAGATCTTGTGTTAGCCCCAGAACAATTTTATTCCCGTGATGGGTCTATGCAGTATAGGAAATTTACTTGTCTTGTATGAAGAAGTGCAGTTGGTCCCCAAACCTGACTGCACGCCAGAGTCACCTGGAGAGCCGGTTTACCAACCACACCTTGGGGGGTTGTAATCCTGTGGGTTTGGGAGAAGGTCCTAGAATCAGTATCTTTACAAGTGCTCCGTGTGAGTTGGAAGCAGCCTACTGATGGATGCCATCTGGGAGCTTGATGAAGAATATCAAGTGTGTGGATTTTTTTTACAGTTCCATTGGTCCCGTGTAAACTATGCCTAAATGATTTCATTCTTCTTGAGTTGCGGGTGGACCAAGCTTGTGTGAGAGTGTGCACTCATGTGAAATAACAACAGCTAGCCTTTACAAGTGCTTTCCAAACTCACAAACTCCGTTTTACATATATTTATTATCTCTTTTCATCTTCACAGCCTCCACAGGAAGCAGATAATACTTTTATGCAGATAAGGTTGACTAATGAAGTTACACGATTGGCCCACGCCAACAAGGCTATTATTAAGTGGCAGCGCCAGGGACAAGGGTGGGACGGGATCACTCTGGGAACTGCCCGCCTATGTGGCCCTTCCATGCCACCATGCTGCGTGGACCGCCTGGGCCTGCATTTGTGGGTGATGGGGGGAGGCGAGGGATATTTATAGCACTTGCTCCCCAAACCGCTTTTCAGCGCTTCCGTGCCTCATCCCTGGGCGCTGGCCTTTGGAGAGCTGCAGGGGTGTTGCTGTGACTTGTGAGAGAACCGTTTCAGAGGGAAATCCCACTCTGCCCTTGGAGGAGGCCGCCTGGGGCAGAGGAGGCTCCCCTGGCTGGTCAGAGTACACCCTGGCAGGGGAGGTCCCATGAGAGGCTGCACCCAAAAGTTCCTGATGGTTGCAGCACCTTTGGTTTAGAAATCATTTGCCAGGGCAGAGATTGTTTCCTCTACAGTAGGAATTTGGACATTTCCTGGGACATTTGTCTATTGCAAGAAAAAAAAAAAACGCTCGATGTGTGAGTGAGTTCTGTACCCCACGTTTGCCTAGGAAATGCTCGTGCATAGTTATGCAGAGCTCTTGCCTCAGACATGTCAAAGACTCAGGAACTTTTCCTCCTGCCTAGGCCTCTTCCCGCTGTGGTAGAGGGGTCAGCCTGTTTTCCAAAGCAAGGGCAGTGGGCTCCCTGCCCTTCAGAGCCTTTACAAAAGTTGGGAATGCCACTTGGAGAGGAGTGGGCTGTAGTGAGGGCTCTTGGGCTGGGGACCTCCTGAATTTTAGATTCCAAGCAGCAAATTGCCTCACTGGGGTCTGCTACAGGCTCCAGTCCTGGGTTTGCAGACCCTAGTCTCCTTTCTTCACAATGTTAGGAAACATTCTCATTCACCCAGTGATGGGATCTCCGAAGTGGGCCCGATAATAAAATAAAACCTATGCCTGGTCACAATCCACAGGAGATGGGGAAGGCATGCTGTACTACTGGTTGAAGAAAATTAATTGAGTTTTTTTTCCCCCTTCGTTTCAAGAAGGGCTGGTTCTATTAATAGCTCAAGTAAAGATTTTTTTAAATTTGACTTTTTAATACTGATTCTGCTCTTTTACCAGGTCCCCTACCACCAAATCCAGCCAGCTCTAATTCCTAATTGGAAATTATGTAACAAGTCTGATGTTTTAATTCAAATTGCATTTTAGTGATAAATATGGTACCACCAAAAAAATGCCTGAAAAATGTTTTTATTTCTTCTCTTCCCTGTCATTTGTTTGCCATTTGGACCATGCTACAATAAATGACAGAATTAAAAAAAAAAATGGAACACCAGCAAATTTTGTCACTGATTTCCTAGAACTAAATTTAGTCCAGGGGCTTAGGCTTTAATAAAAGCAAAAAAAAAAAAAAGTTTTATTTTTTTGAGGCCTGAGGGTACTTTTTGAGGGAAGTATTGGAAATGTAAAGGCTTTGAACAAAGTGCCTCGGGCTCATGTAAATGTATTTGTGCTGTACTGGAAATATAACAAACACTGTGAGAAAGAACTTGTCTTTCTGTAATATTTGCATACCACAAGTGCCTTCAGTATATGATACTGTTATTGTATTCCCCATTTAGTAGATAATTTCTTCCATTTAAAAAATCATGAACTTTAGAGAGAGACCCTATTAATCTGCTGATGCTCAGTGCATGCATGTTGGACTCTGTCCAGGGAATTTTGACTCTGGCATGACCAGAAGTGGCTCATTATCAGAAGAATGTTTATCCATCCGTTGGCTCCTGTGTCTGAGCGGGGCCCTGGGCTGTGATTTCCCCTCTAGCTGGTTCCTGGAGCAGGTCGGGGAAAGGCCCAGCAGTGGCTGCGTTTGAGAGGCTGGGAAATACACAAGTAGGAGGTTGGAACCTCGCGACTTTAAGAAATAGCATGTCTTTGCTTTCTAGATATCAAGAAGCTTTTTAAGCAAACACATCTGAGTTTACC